CAGCTGACACTACCCAGATTTACCCAAGGTTTACCCAAGGTTTACCCATGCAATCCAACCTCTCAGAATCGATGTCTCAATGTGAGAGCTTAGAGCCAGCACGGCGGCGGCCAGCACCATCAGCACCGTTCACTGTGCACGGCCCCCAAGACAGCTAAGTTGGTAACTAGGCAAACTGTTGGACTTATGTTGAATGTATTTACAGTTGGAATTCAAGTTAAGTTATGTAACTTTTGGACTTATGTTGGAATTTACTTAGTTTTCAAACTGTTGGAATTCAACAAAACCCATTGAAAACTACGAGTCAAGTCCCATAAAGGGTACCATTCGTGATCAAATCCGCCGAATCTCCGAAGCTCGAAGGGGGCAACCAAACGATGGGTCAGTCGTTTAGTAGGCTAACAGTTCTTAAGGACGCAGGAAAGATATATATATATATAGTAGATGTAGTTCATCATTAGAAACAGGCAAAACTCAAACTGGCTGGCCCTTTTTGTATTCCAAATGCATACTGCTTTTTTCTCCAGCTAACATGCGTCCCAAGAGCCAGGATTCCATAACTTCCATAACTTCCATAACTTCCATAACTTCCATAACTTCCATAACTTCCATTTAAAATCCACTAGTCTAGAGTTCATCATAAAACACTCCCCATGAAAAATGGAGCCATAAAGTTCAACCAATAACAGTGGCTCCAGCGACTGGGAAACTCGCTCCAGCTCCGACTGGCTCCATTGGTAATATGGATACCCCCATCGATCCTTTAGCTCCGAACGGCGAAAGATTGGTGAACCATGATGGCCATGGTTTGAATGGTTAAAACTCCGGATGGTTAAAACCATGGTTTACCCTCTGGGAAATTAACATGTTGACCCTGAAAATAGCCTAGTTTTAATGGAAACTCATCTTCCAACCCCGATGACTGCCAGGGTCTATGTTAATTTACCAGAGGGTACTAATTGTGGGGGTACCATCCAAATAGTCAGAATACACTGGAATTAATGATACATAAATGGTATCCCCCCAATTAAACAGCCGTTTGGGGTTTATTAATCCAGGGTTGACATTAAACATGATGATTGACCTATTATTTTAATGGTGATTTGCCATAGCAAACCGTGAAAGTAACCAGAGGCTTATTTAGCCCCATGTTCACAGATTGTCCCAAGACTGGTCCTGGTTCTATCTTTCTGCATCTCCTGGTGATCATTAAATACCTCCACACATTAAATATGCCATTCCTTCCATTTTTCAGAACGAAACTCTGGCTTCAAATCAGATCCATGAATTTTGGGTTCCTTTGTTCGGGGAGGGTAAGTATAAGTTAGCGGGATTCGAATGTTTGGTCTAGTAGGAACCTACGGACCAGCCGAATGGGTTGCTTTTAGTATCAACATCTAAATTGGTGGTCAATAATTGGTCTCAAAATACGGAGCCCCACTACAAAAGGATTACTAGTCCTTACTAGTCCCATCCTCCTAATATGAAACACCTCCTAAATGGTCCCAAACATGTGTAAAATCCCTCACTAAACCATGGTTTCTGTGTGGTGTTTAATATCAGGGGGAAGGGATTGTATATATATATATACAGTATGTATATATATATGTATATATATGTATATATATATGTATATATATAGGTATATATATACAATATGTATATATATATATGTATTTTTATATATACATATGTATATATATATATATATTTATTTACTTATTTATTTACTTATTTATTTATTTATAATACATATATATATATTATATTTTTTATATATACATATATATGCATTTATATATACATATATTATCCCATTGTGTCCCCACTACATCCCCCTTTATGCTTGGTTCATTCCCATGTTTGCTCAGATTCCGAGCATCACCAGGTCCCTATTGTTTTTTTTTCGGACCATCATGGCATCGCGTCCACTTTGTGACGAGTGCTATGCTGAGAATGACGGTTTTTATATATGGCAGTGTGTCAAAACCTTGTACCCCTGTAGTTCACATCAAAATAGCTGGGTTAAAATGGATGTGAATAACCCACTAAAAATGTATCTATAGGTATTGACCCATACCCATATATGTTTCACACAAAAATACTTATCCTAGTTTTCATGCAATTAAAAGTTTAAATTGTTGTTTAACTTTATTTCATATCCTTTCCTAATTTTTATATCCGACGCAAAAACACCCGAGCTTCTGGTTGTTGTGCGAAACAACTGCTGGTTGGTGGTTGAGCCCTACCCCTCTGAAAAATATGAGTTCGTCAGTTGGGATGATGACATTCCCAACATCTGGAAAAATAAAACAGGTTTGAAACCACCAACCAGAACTGGTTTGTGGTAAAAACGTGGATTTAAGCAACATGGGATACGACATATATGTTTTGTAGTCTCTATTTATATGATTGGAAACCACAAAGTGATACCACCTATTTTACTAAGTTGGTTGATAGTTGGGCTATCCTGGGAAGTGTCAGTGGAGGGTTACTGTTCTTTGCATCTGTGGGATATCATGATATGCTACAATACTGTGTCAACAAATCATGACTATAAACTATACCCTCTGGTAATTTAACGTAGCTATTGAAAATGACCATTTATAGTGGATTGTCCCATTAAAAATTGTGATTTTCCATAGTTATGTTAGTTTACCAGAGGGTAACTTAATGTGGCTATGGAAAATGGATGAAATGATATGGCCCACTTAATTCGATGATATGCACATCCAAGGATGCAGCCAGCAATGGAACTCCCTAAATGGTACAGGGACATCCCCATGGGGGTTTTTTTGGGCACCGGATCTGGCTGTGTTTGTGTAACCCATGTCAAAAAAATGTGTTTGCAGCTGTTTTTCTCAATGAAATGTGGCTTTTACTATGCTTCAAAAGAAAGCTGGAAACAGACGTAGAAGTCCGTAGTCCGTAGAAGTGAGCTCACGATTTTTCTAGTCTTCCCATACTCGCGACTCGAGATCCTTCCGAAAGCAGGTCCCCAGTGACATTCTCAGCTGAATCTACTACGATCCTCGGGAGCTGGAACCGACTTATGGAAACCCCCAGGGGTTGGTGGATCACTACAAAGTGGTGGCTAAAATGAGTAGTTTGACTGGGGAAAATGATGGAAAATCTAAATCCGCCCACACCGCTTTGGCGGTGAAGGCGTGCTTATTGGGGGGCAACAGCAACACTAAATGCTCAATGACATTTGTTAATATTGCAGTCGCTATATCAGCTTTAGCCTGGGGGGGGCCCAAAAAACGGTTTCGCACCGAGACCAGAATACGGTGGTGTTTTCGACATTTTTCGAGGATTTTTGGGTGTCTGAGCGCAAGAGGGTATTGAAATGGAATTTTGGGTCATTTTGGTAGCTTTCCGGCAATGGAAAAACGGCCAAAAATGAAAAAAACATTGTACATAGCAAGATTTTGCAGGGTTTTTGGATGCCAGAGCATTGAAAACACTGCAAAAACAAGTGTTTTGGACTGACGTTATAGCAAAAAACGTGTAAATTACCGTATGCTTGACTGGAAACATTACAAAAACACTGTCAAAAGCAATGTTTTGGAAGGATTTACTGCCTTTATGGCAAAAAACGTGTAAATTACCGTCTGTTTGACTGGAAACATTGGAAAAACACTGTCAAAAACAATGTTTTGGAAGGATTTCTTATATATATGTTGGAGTTGGCTACCGGCATTGGAACATGGAAAAATTGAAGAAAACACTGTAAATAGCGGTATTTTCAACGGTTGGGGAGATAAGGGAATTGGAAGCATTGTCGAACATGATGTTTTCGACCGGTTTTATGGCGACAAAAGTGTAAAGTACCGTGCTTTGAAGGAAACCATTGCAAAAACATGGAAACACATTCAAAGAACACGGGATTTGGGGGACTATCTAGGCGTCGTTGTCTAGCTATTTGAAATTCCGCAGCTTGGAGAGCCTCCAAGGGAGGGAAAAGTGAAAATTCCATAGCTTGGGAAGCTGTCACGGCGGGGAAAAGTGAAAATTCCCTAGCTTGGGAAGCCCCCACGGGGGGGAAAAGTGAAAATTCCCTAGCTTGGGGAGCCCCCACAACTACCGAATATTATCCCAAGTTGGGTCGAAACTGAGACCTGGCAAGCACAAAAACAGGATCTTAATCCTGTGTTTTTCACGCAGTCATACCGCGGACAACCCCAGTCGGGACTTACTAATAGTTACACCTCAAAGAGTAGATGACCGGTGAGCAAATGGGTTTCGAATGCCGATAGCAATGCATCCCAAAACTCAAAAAAAAATCTTGCTTGAGGTTCTCATTTATTTTGATGGTATGGTATTTATCTATGACATATGGTTTTCCTGTATCTTGTGATACAAAAACGTAAATTCATAGGTTGCATCTCTAAAACAAAGTTTACCCCAATGAGCAAAGGTTGTCTCTTCCTTGAAATACACCAAAATAAACACAAAGAGTTGCCTGTTCCTCGTCAAATATTTAGGTGCAACACCAAATATAAACATATCAAGTTGATGCTGCACGTATATCAAAGATACAAATAGATCTATTAAACATAAACTGCTGAATCTACTTAACTAGTTAAAGGAGATCCATTAAACACTAAATAGTTACAACATAAACTCTTGTCTCCTTTAATATCCAATATCCCATTATATCCATAGATCGCAAAAAAAAAAAACATATATAGTTGGCTACATATCCCATTATATCCCATAAAATCCCATTATATATATATATACCATATACCATATTATATTCCATAAAATCCCATATATACCATTGTATTATATCCCATAAAATCCCATCATATATATATATACCATATATATACCATATTATATTCCATAAAATCCCATATATACCATTGTATTATATCCCATGAAATCCCATTATATATATATACCATATACCATATATATATATAGACCATATATAATTAACCAATGGCTGTTAACCTAGTTGTTTGTCTAAGACGCGCTGTCTCGACGACGCCTCAATCATTGATGTTGCCTTGGCTCAAATCGTGGAGGACGAAAAAACGTCGGTGCTGTGATTTTCCCATCACCTACAGGTCCCCATTTGAATCACGGGGTTTTAATGGAAAAAATGGTGGTTAACTATCAACAAATGGATATTAAAAGAGGATTTGAATGGATTTGAATGTTTGAATCTTTGGATTTCATGGGAATTCAGCCTCTGGTAAACGATAAAAAATAGCTATAGAAATCCCCATTTTTGGTACAGGCAAATCATCGAAATATTGCTGGTCCATGTTCCATAGCTATGTTAATTTAGGTATCCCACGATCCCCCAAGCTGGTTTCCGACGGCCCAAACTGTTCTGCCTAGAGATAGCAAACTCTTTGTTTACCAGAGGTAAACTCTGCAAAATACCCAAACTGCTAAAGTGAACCAAACTGCTAGTCAAATTTATATGTCACAGTAGGTTGATGAGCCACCAAAAAAAAAACGCGAAGTCGTCGGGATCGTTTTTTCCCCCTTTTAGGGATGGAAAATCAACAAATCACCAACCAGCTATGATTTTTCATAATGGTCCCAAAAAAAAAAAGGAACTCGTCAGGGCTGCTCCCAGCACCCCATTTATGCAAGTGAGAAAACCTGTTATTAAAAAAAAAAAACAATCTAACGATACCTAGCTGAATTATATAATTAAAATTCACTGTGAGGATAGCTTTTATCATACGGCTGAGGATGCGGAACCCCGAATCCGATTGTCAAAAAAAAACAGAATTCCGAAAGAATTCCGTCGCGACATCAGGTCATGATCGAAGTTAACCAATCTATATACATATGTATATATATATATTATACATATATGATATTATGCCCATGATGTTTCCACAATAAGCCCCCATTTTATATCCTCATCTTAACCCTTTTTTAGCCGAAAAAAATTGTCTCCAGATCTCGCTGGGCTGTTACCGAGGCGCACAGCGAGGTGGGCAACACAAGTTTCTGAAGATCTTCCGTCCTCGCGAAGGATGCTGGATTTGACCATGAAAAATTGTAGTATACCTACCCCTCTGAAAAATATTAGAGTCAGTTGGGATGATGACATTCCATTCCCAATATATTATGGAAAATAAGTCCAATTTCACGATGGTTTATAGGTGATATACCTATAGTTAATGGGATTATCACCAATTTATAACTGGAAAGTCATAAAATTCCATGGTTCCAGTCACCAACCAGATCAAAAATTGGAGACACAACTGGCTCGACACAAAAACACGACTGACTCATTGGATTTGAGCCAAACATACATAACGACGTGGGGATTCAACACAGCCTTCACAGCCTTCAAACTGGGTCAAGCTTAGTAAAGTTACATGCAATTTCGATGGAAGAATAGACTCACCAGCTTAAAGACTCCCGATTTGATCCCATGTTTGGTTCTTGAGACACAGTTCTTACAGCAAAAAAAACACATGTCTGCTGGTGAAATCCATAATAATAGTACTGGTTAGCATATCGAACCGACAACCATTGCAGTTTGAACACAGAATTTTGTGTAGATACAATCATAACAGTGAGATACAGCCTACAGTACAGAAGTTTTTTTTGGCGACGTCATGTTGAGTCAAACTTCATGTCTCAAGGTTAACATCAGTGCTAAACCTCCATTTGGATGATATCCCAATCCGTCCTGTTTCTCAATGGATTGGTTTTCACCGGAAAATCTACAGGGAAACCCATGGGTTTTTACCATCATTTTTTCCCCACATCTTTGTGTGGGGTTCTTGTTTTTGATTCTGTATCCCGGGCTCCTCCTCCGCCTTCTCCTCCTCCGCCCTCCTCCACACTTTGTCACCACACACTTGTCCACACACACTTTGTCACCACACACTTTGTCACCACACATTGTCAACACACACTTTGTCCACACACACTTTGTCCACACACACTTTGTCACCACACATTGTCAACACACACTTTGTCAA